AACCAGGGCAAAAAGGCAGAGGGGTCCCAGAACCAGGGCAAAAAGGCAGAGGGGTCCCAGAACCAGGGCAAAAAGGCAGAGGGGACCCAGAACCAGGGCAAAAAGGCAGAGGGGTCCCAGAACCAGGGCAAAAAGGCTGAGGGGACCCAGAACCAGGGAAAAAAGGCAGAGGGGGCCCAGAACCAGGGCAAAAAGGCCGAGGGGGCCCCTAACCAGGGCAAAAAGGAGGGAACCCCAAACCAGGGCAAAAAGGCAGAGGGGACCCCCAACCAGGGTAAAAAGGCAGAGGGGGCCCCCAACCAGGGCAAAAAGGAAGGAACCCCAAACCAGGGCAAAAAGACAGAAGGGACCCCCAACCAGGGCAAAAAGACAGAGGGGGCCCAGAATCAAGGCAAAAAGGCTGAGGGGGACCAGAATCAGGGCAAAAAAGCTGAGGGGGCCCAGAATCAGGGCAAAAAAGCCGAGGGGGCCCAGAATCAGGGCAAAAAGGCAGATTCCATTGCTAATCAAGGCACAAAGGCAGAGGGTGTTGTGAGCCAGGGAAAAAAAGCAGAGGGGGCCCCCAATCAAGGCAAAAAGGCAGAGGGAACCTCGAACCAGGGCAAAAAGTCAGAAGGGTCCCCCAACCAGGGCAAAAAGGTGGATGCATCTGTCAATCAGGGTAAAAAGGCAGAGTCAGCGCCTATCCAAGGCAAAAATGCAGATACGGTCCAGAGCCAAGATGCACCAAAGCAAGAGGCTCCTGCAAAGAAGAAGTCTGGTTCAAAGAAGAAAGGTGAGCCTGGTAAGTAGTTCTGATATCTCTGTGAACTTGGTGGGGGAAGCTATCCTTCAGTGGCCTATGGATTCCCCCTGGGGGAGCCTTATGTATCAGTTAGCTGTTTCCACAACAGAGGTGCATAACAAACATTCCAGAATTTGGTAGCTTACACCAGCGGTCATTTATTTGTGTTCATGCGTCTGTTGAACTGGCTGAAGGTTGACTGATCTGGATTGTCTCTGCTAAGTGGCTCATGTTTTGGCTCCTTGCTGCAGGTCTAACCTCAGTCTGTTGCACATGGGTTCCTTCTGGGCTCTAGCCTGAGCCCTCAGGGATTCTGGAGGGCGGAAGCCCTTCTCATGGTGATGGCAGAGCTGTGAAAGGACACATTTCAAACCAGCATCCTGTTGGCCCGAGCAAGTCATGTGACCAAGCCAGCAGCAACGGGCAGGAAGCTCACTTTCTCCAGTGGGCCGGACTGCCACATGGTGTTGGAAAAGGTGTGAGTAGGTGTGAGGAAAGGAAAGGAATTGGGAATAGTAATTCCATCCGCCATGCAGTCTGGAACACTTCTGTGTCTGGGCAGATCTTAGAGGCCTGTGTTCTACCAGCCTGTTCTGTCGCTAACCTCACCTGGTACTCATGTCCGTGTGTTTGTTAAATGAATAATGGTAGGGTGTTTTAAAGGAGGGGTGGCATCCAACCCACACACCCGCAGTTTTTCCTCTTCCCTATCCCAGTTACTTAGTGGGTCATTTTATGTACTTGTCAGATAATACAGAACAGGAATTTTCTGTTATGTTTTGAGTGCATATTACTAGAGAAATTGGGCCAGTGAGTTCCGGTTTCATGTTCATCATTCATCTGATACGGTAGTCTTGCGTTTTCTATTCTTTCTTTCTCCCCCCTCCCTTTTTTTAAAAGGTCTTTGACTAGGGGTGCCTGGCTGGCTCAGCTGGTAGAGCATGCGACTCTTGATCTCAAGGTCATGAGTTTGAGCCCCATGTTGGGCATGGAGCCCACTTTAAAAAAAAAAAAAAAAAGACTGACTAGTCATTAGTTGTTTTGGAAAATTAATTGCATTTGTCTTAATGAGGCATCTTGGGGGATCTGAAATGTGTGAGCCTATGCTAGGTAGCACAAGGCCCTGTGTTTTTAGCTGGGTTTCCCTTTCTTACCCCTTTGTGAAGCTCCATTCACTTTTTCCAGGTTTCCTCCTCCCCCAGCTTTGGGGGGGGGGTATTTGCTCAGACAGTACCCTGTTCCTTGTGAGGGGACCCTGTGCTGTGTGAGCAGCTCCAGGCTCCTGCTGAAGGTCAAGGATCAGCCCACCTGGCCGCACAGGTCGGGTCAGCCTTCCAAAGCCCTTTGAAAATCCAAATGGTTAGCATCAGTCTGCCTCCACACGCTGGAGGAAAGGCACACTGCCTTGTCTTTAAAGTGGTGTTCCACTTGACCCAGGAACAGGGTACTTGAGGCATGAAGACAGGGATGGAACCAAGAACTGGCCTGTTTTCTGTAAAGCATCAGGTGTGCTCAGAATAGAGCTTGCTGTGTCCTCTAGCCATTGTTACTGTGTTCGGCTTTAGACATAAAGTAAGGCATGGAATAGGTGCTTTATGTTAGGAAGGAGGGCAAATGGTACTAATTTCCAGGTAATAGAGAGCCTTGTTTGGAGGAAGACCTAACTTTCTGACCTGTGTGAGCCCACATGGCAGCTTGCTGGCATACAAGGCAATTCGAACAGAGAAAAGAAATACCATGGCTGGGATAAGAAAGATGAAATACTATGGAATGTGGCCAGTGCACCTGGGCCTGGCATTTGATGGATTTTTGATTGATTTGAATGCTTAGATAGCCCCATGTGAGCAGCCCTCGACTAGCTCTCTGGTGCCCACAGTTCAAACTTCATGGCCCTGGAGCCCTCCCTGGCCTGAGCCAAGGTCTCCTCTATTCAGAGAAGGAACTCCTTCCTTTCCCTAAGCTTCTGCTCCTCCTCAGCAGGCAGCATCCCCCCAGTAGCCTAGGCTCCTCACACCTCCAGGCCCCCGAGTTTCTGGATGCCAGGGCCAGCCCAGCCCAAGTTGTACCCTGGAGTGCACAGGACCCTGGAGAAACTGGGAGTGGACAGGCCATGGACAGACACCCAGAAGCTCACCCACAGCCCACAGACAAGGAGGTCAAAGGCAGGTGGCCAGAGCTGACTGCCGCCTCCTGAGCCAATGGAGGACCATGGGATGTGTAGTATGACTGCATGAAAAGAACGTGGCCTGCTTTCCACTAAGCAACACGGTCATGGCTGCAAGATCAGAGCCACAAATGCTAAATATGAGTCCCATTCATTCTGGAACATGAAACTCCATGTATGAGAGGTCATTGCAGCAGAAGGCTGAGCCCCACTCTGTAAGCAACTGGGAAAATCCATGCTGTCCATGGACTTGTTCTTCAGACCCTCAGTCTCCACAGCTTCTGGCTAATTAGAAACACAGAAAGAAACCGGATTTGCCAGAGAGGCAGGAATATCACTGCAAATGCCTTAAGGCTCCCAGAGTGGAGAAGGGTCTGGATGGCTCATCACTGACCTCTGACTTCAGAGTGCTTCCTCAGAGCAAGTCCTGAACTGCATATCTGTATTTGGGAACACCAGATCCCCAAACTAAGGACAAAAGCACATACCTCACTCATTCCATCCTTGGGCCCACGATCATTTACAGATAAGAGGAGTAAAGCTGCTGGAAGCCAGCAGAGACATACCACTTTGCCCTTCATGCCACCCTGGCAGGGACTCAAGGGGTCCTTACTGCTCCCCTCCCCTGCACCCCCATCTAGCAAGCTCTGGTCCTGAGACCAACAGCATTAGCGTCTCCTGGGAGCTGGTTAGAAATGCAGAGTCTCAGGCTCCACCCAGAACTACCGAGTCAGACTCCCTCTGGACAAGTTCTGCAGGTGATTCATCCGCACGGTAAAGCTGAGGAAGCACTGCACTGGGGGAAGTTTCCAGAATTTCTGAACACACAGACTGTCTCAGGAATACTTGGTATTGGCGCAGAGAGTGGTCTGCATCTGCCCTGGGAGGTGGGGGTGGGGGTGGGACTCGAAGATGGCTCTCCACCCCAACCACAGGAACACAAGGCTGAGATCCCATCCCACAGTGCACACTTGGGAAAATGAAAAACGAAGTATTAGACAGTTTCTTCCCCATGTCCCTAGACTCTCATGCTCCCTCTGAAGAATGAAGAAATTCACCTCTCAGGTATCCTGTCTCCACTGCACATGATACTGTGTGTGGCTGGCATTTCCTTCTGTGTCTCTCTGACCATCCACGCCACTGCTTTTGTGGCCAAGTGCCCCACCTTGGCCTTTGCAGTCTTCTCACTGCAACATCGGAGAGATGTCCCATCTCCCATCATCCAGGCCAATCCATGTTAGTTTTGGCTGTCTCGATGTTTTCCAGGGTTTGCTTTCTTTTTAAATTAAGTTTAATTCATTGAGCCCTTACATTTTTAGAGGGGTCCAGTCTAAGCAGACTCTTGCAAATCTTAAACATGCTGCCCGAGACCAGAACATTTCTTCCCCCCTGTCGACATGATGCTCCCTCCCCTCACTGGTCCGTAGTCACCTGTCACCCGTGGCTGCCTTCTCTGGACTGTGCAGGGAAGGGATGTGCAGGGAAGGGCATGGCCACCTGCACAGTCAGTTCTTTTGGACACTGCTATTCTCAACCAGAGCAACTAGGAGAGGAGAGGCCTGTGAAAGTGAGCACGTCTCTGCAGCTCTGTGTTGGCACCACGCAGCTCATCTCGTGCTTTGTTCTGTCTGCCTGTATCCCGAGTGGCGTGGGGTAAGTGCCCCATTGTCCTCCCTATCCCAGCGCGATGTGATAAGTGAGGTCATGGAAGCTGCAGCCAGCCCATGACACGTGGCAAATCAGCAAAACCTGCAAAACCTGCCCCGGAGCTGGGGGCACCACAGACAAGGGTGTGTCCTCAGTTGTCACCAGGTGGGCCCATAGGGTCCTCGCCGACAGGCACCCCAGGGAGGAGGAAGGTGTGGAGGCGGACCTGGGACGTGCTTCAACAGGCCCAGCTCGGAATTCTTCCAGCACTTCCGATCTGTTTTTCCTACAAGAACAAATCAGGGCCATGTGGCAGCTTTTTACTGCTTGTCGTGGCCAGATTTGACAGTGAACACCTGCCTTCTAATCCATGCTTTAAAAATGTATTATTGTATAAATACGTCCTTCCAGCAAACAAAATACGAGCAATACAGAAGTATGGAAGATGAAAAACCGAGTCTTTCCACTCCATGACTCTCCCCACCCATTCCTGGGGGAGCCTGGAAGACGTTCTCCTCAGTACTGCGGCACACCCAGATGGGGCCTGCGGGGCACACAGCTTGGGGGGCTTACCTTGCTTACCAGGGTACTGGTGACATCGTTTCCTACTGTTCCTATGGGGCTGCTGCCTCCAGCTCCATCCTGCTCCAAAGCAGGAATGTCTCATTTGTTTATTTAAATGATATTTACTAGTGTGTGGTTTTTTTGGAAGGTGGATTTCTTTTTTTTTTTTTTTTTTTTACAATTTCAGAGAGAGTGAGTGGGGAGAGGGGCAGAGGGAGAGGATCTCCAGCAGACTGCACTCAGCAGTCCAAGAGGCAGGGCTCAATCTCATGACCCTGAGATCGTGACCTGAGCTGAAACCAAGAGTTGGGTGCTCACCTGACCAAGCCACCCAGCCACCCCAAGAGTCTGCAGGTTTTTTGCCGCTAACATGAATGCCGCGGTGACGTATGTGTGTTAGAGTGTGAGCAGCTCTTCAGATATGTCATGGCCAAGTGGAAAGGCAGGTGCATTTTTAATTTAGGAGGACAGTGCTACATCACTCCCCAAAGACATTTCACGATTTCCTGTTCTCGCAGAGTGGTGAGAGGCCCACACGCGTGTTTCCCAGAGCCTTACACCTGACTTGACCTCTCCTGTGGTGCTGTAGGAATAGCGATCACTTCAGGGGAGCATG